CACAATTGGATCAAAGATGGCCGACTGGCAGCCATCTTGTTTTTTGAAAATGTCATATTTTGGACATGCTTTGTCAGTTTTCATTCAAATTTAGTACATAGATCATACATGTTAGGATACATGTCCCCGACCGTCCGTGAGTTCCTGAGTCTGTCCGTCCGACCGTCCGTGTGTCCGTCTGTCCGTCCGACCGTCCGTGTGTCCATCTGTCCGTGCGTCAGTCTATCCAACGTCATATTTCAGAATCCTGTGGACAGATTCCGTTCATTCTTTGCATGTGCCTAGTACCTTATGTGGGACATACGCACATGCAGTGGTTTAGCGATTTGATTCAAAATGGCCGACTGGCAGCCATCTTGTTTTTTGAAAATGTTGTATTTTAGACATGCTTTGTCAGTTTTCATTCAAACTTGGTACATAGATTATACATGTTAGGATACATGTCCATGATGATTTATTTCACAATTGGATCAAAGATGGCTGACTGGCAGCCATCTTGTTTTTTGAAAATGTCGTATTTTGGACATGCTTTGTCAGTTTTCATTCAAATTTACTACATAGATCATACATGTTAGGATACATGTCCCCGACCGTCCATGAGTTCCTGAGTCTGTCCGTCCATCCGTCCGTGTGTCCGTCTGTCCCTGCGTCAGTCTATCCAACGTCATATTTCAGAATCCTGTGGACCGATTCCGTTCATTCTTTGCATGTGCCTAGTACCTTATGTGGGACATATGCACATGCAGTGGTTTAGCGATTCGATTCAAAATGGCCGACTGGCAGCCATCTTGTTTTTTGAAAATGTTGTATTTTGGACATGCTTTGTCAGTTGTCATTCAAACTTGGTACATAGATTATACATGTTAGGATACATGTCCATGATGGATCAAAGATGATCGACTGGCAGGCATCTTGTTTTTGTTTTTTTATGCGGTATCTTGGACGTGCTCTGTCAGTTTTCATTCAAATTTGGCACATACATGTACTTTATACATGTTAGAATGCATATCCATGACAATTTGTTTCAAAATCTGGTCAAAGATGGCCGATTGACAGCCATCTGACTTTTTGGCCTTACTACTATATTTCCACAATTTATGTACCATTTTCATTCGTATTTGGCACATACATCATACATATCAGTGTTTCATAATCAGATCAAAGATGGCTGAATAACGGCTGTTTTTATTTTGGCCATATTACTATGACACGAAACACGTGTTTTGATGTAAATAAACAATCTGTTGTATACGCCACTTGGAACTCAAGTTTCAAGGACACGCTCGCGACAACCCCTCCGCTTTAATATGACGAGCACAAAGAGAACTTAACGGGGACTGTGTCATTTTCAATGACTTGTTTTCTTTGTTTCAAAACTATTGTTGTTTGTCAGAGGTAATTTTACAAAGTTTCGTAAGCTGTCAAAATTTTCGCAAAACAGGTTTTAATTGCTACAGGGGGCCCTAAAACCGTCATGACGACTTTTTCACAACACCAACACCATAAAATTATCAAATCACAGAAAAATCTTACCGATGAAAGGTAAACCGGTTACAGTACGTAACATCCTAACGTAGAATTTCCACAAATCAGACGAGTTTTTAGAATACTGAATTACATTGAAATCTTGTACTGGTTGAGTAAAAATCAGTACTTACAAAAACATTAGATTGTGGTGCATCATTTGTTGCCAGAAAGCAAAGTTTCTGTTAAAAAAATCATGATAGCTAGATAGATAATCTTTATTTTAATATACTCTAGTAGGTATGTGCTTATTTTTACCCCTTTCCGTATCATAAATGAAGATTTTTTTTGTGTGGTTAGATTTATTATTGCATTGTTTCAGGACTTTTATACTCACTCCTGCAATGCAAAGAACAGATATTGCATGGTTAGTTTGTATCAATCTATCCATTCATTTGTAATTTAATCTAGGTTCTCAATGAACAAGGTTGTAATAGTTACGCTATGTTCTTGGGTTGAGTAAGAGATACCTGAATAGAAATACAAAAACAAAAATACATTAATTATTCTGATACAATTTATGAAAAGTTACTTTTTACAAGCGATTTTAAAACTGGCAAAAGAACTAGTTATAATATCATAGGGGTAACTGTTGAAAAACGAGGATCAGCAGTTGGTCAGATGAGCGTAATTGACTGGATGGTGTATTTTTTAAAAAACATTGATGAAATGTAATTGGAAAGTTGCCTATGAATAGATTTAAAAACCATTAAAAGAATTTTCCAGTGTGAATTTGGATGATAATTGTAACCAATTTAGTTTCTGATAAAGATTTATTGTTGGTGCAGTTGGTTCAGTGTCAAAAATAAATTTCATCGATCGACTTTGGAAACATTCCAAGATTTGAATATCATTAACACATGTATTGCTCCAGACAGTAAAACAATTTGATAGATGTGAAAAAAGGAAACAATTGTAAGAACTTTCTAATTCTAGCGATAAAATACAGTTTAGAAATAACCTGATTTTCGATTTGCGGTGATTCATGGGGAGAAAAAATCCCCATCAGATTACAAATGTGTTGGCATCATAGAAAAGAGTATATTGCACAAATAGGTAAAATACTTTCAGCTGTTATCATCGTGAAAGCTGTTGAAACACTTCCAGTACTTGTTTATGCCTTTTAAAAAGTGCTAATCGCCTCTGTAAAAAAACACCATGCAAGCGAAATGAGACTTTGATAATAACAAAATGTCTTTCCAGGATGCGTTCTTTGAAATATTCGAAAAATGACGATTGTATCACGTGGTATTCAGATTGATTTATGACATTCTTGATCTATTGGATCAAAAGACACCATGGTACATCAACTTCTAAAAAACATGGCGAAGCATTTGTACAAAATAGATCAAGTGTTCTAAAACATTCTTTTACAATAAAACAAACTTAAAGTTTACATATATTTTACAGCAAACCAAAGAAATAACATTTTTTTTTGTAGCAAACTATGACTGAATAATAAGTAATGCTCTTCAGAAAACCTCAGAAAAAAGAAAGAAAAAAATATAAGTTATTTTTGTGTGTATGCCATGGTAGTAGATGAACGTTTGCATAATGGGATTCTTCCAGTGTCCCTAACATCACATACCATCAATTCAACGATTTTCGGTTTCCTTAATTAAACCCTTAAATAAAAGACTACTGTGTAAAACCGTTTATTTTCAGTAACATTCAATTTCACTATTTTAATGTTTCGAGCATATTCACCGCGTTTTTAATTTCAATGAAGGAGACAATGAATTTTATTGTTATTTTACATGCTCACGTAGATTTAATTTAGCCGATTTTTCTTATCAGTGAATATAACAAAATTATAACCCAGAGAATAATTAATGCATTAATGTATTTTTAAACATGTTTAAATACCTTTGTTTGATGTTACACGGTAATCATAAAACAAACACGGCAGTATTTATGTCGCAAAATAACAAAAATGCTAGTATGTTTTTTCTTTGAGTTCCCTTTATACAATATAGGTAAATTCATGACTGCAAGCAATTTTTCCTTATTCTCATCAAACATAATAACTATTTGCTTTCTTCTGTGAGGGCAAAAAATATCTCATTAAAATACAATATACTTATTTTCTGACAAAAGAGAAAAAAAACTCTTTTGAAAATTCTACTTGCATAGTCCTCATCGTGAATTGCCTGCAAGATTCGCTCATTACTTGGTTTTCTCTAATCATGTAACCTCATCATGTGGTTCAAATCTGTAATGGATCATAGAATAGACCAACCCAGGTTTTCACTTCCTTTATTGAGCTTATAGTTAGCTCAGCTAAAATAATCAGTTTGACTGTATACGAGTCCACTACATACTTCTCCTAATTACATTGTGCCTGTGCTTGTTATTTTCTTGTGGATAAGGATCAGTTTCTGATTGATCACATTTTTTCAGAGTTCATCAGAAATCCATCTTGTGGTCACAGATTGTTTCCCACTCCCCTAGCCATCAGTTACAATTGACGGCAATACAGTGTTGTGAGCAATATATATTAGACATAAATGGCTGCCGAGAGCGAAAGAACCATGTTTTGCTGCCTTAAATGGTCTTCTATTCTCTCTTGTCGATTACAGCTACCATTCGCAAAGGTTTTTTTCTCAATGACATTTCACAGGCGTCCATTTGTGTCTGAGTTCAGTTTGCCCCTCAGCACATAAGCTCTTAATATTTTGCGCCATTCTATTGGAAACTTTACTCTCTCAGCTGAATTCATTGCTTCATTCATTCTTGCGAATTTGTTTGTGATCTTTTTGAAGATTGAAATACAACATACTGCTGGAATATTTGCTACATTGAAAAATACTGAAAAATAATATTACAATTCCTAATGAGTATATTTTGTTTTGTTTTGCCTAGAAGTAACAATCTACGCATTTATGATCACAGTTATTTGTTTTACTATATGTATTCCTGTATTGTTAACCTGTAATAATTATTGGATACCTTTTCCCCGCATACATGTATTTTTTTTTTCTAAATCATTTGAATAAAAAATATATAAAATTTTGGTTGCAAAAAATATAATGCTCTAAAGGTTATAAACAGTTCATATTTTCACAGTCAGCTGCAATGATTTCTTGGAAATGTTTTGTTCAAATTCTGTTTACTAAAAATATGAGGTTCAAGTTAACTTAGATTGCTTTCATATGGTTTCTTTCTTCCTTACTTAGTTGATTGGATTCTGACATAGATACACTGTTCAGTTGAAAATTGTGTACAATATGTATTGAACACAAACTTGGCTGTTTTGAACGCATTTTGTTGAACTTGTATTGAATCAGGTCTAGATTTCTTAGAAAAATACTTCATTTCTAAAAAATGATTAAATGGAATGATGAGTTCAATGAATGTAGTTTGAGCAAAAATGAAATGTTGCACATTGTTGAAACATGGCGGTATACTGGATTTTAACAACTGCAATGAACCTGAAACAGGAATGTATGATCAACTAACTTTCTTTATTTTTACAGGTCAGCAATCGTTATGTATCCCAATTAAAAGATGGCCATCAGTCTCACCCGTTCGTCAAAGAGTATTGTGCAAAGGTAAAACAGTTTTAATACTTTAGAATTGTGTAATCTTATATCAATAGAAAAATAGAGGATATCTCATTGTTGACCCTGCGATGTCAGATTTATTAATATCAGTGTTTTGATTGATTTTGATTTTGGATTACCATGATTGTGTACTTGTATTATATATACACCGGTATATTAATTATATATATATGCATTTTTTACAGGAACTTGAATTTGATCGTCTTGCAAAACAGTATGTCTCATCATCATAAACACAAGGCAATCTACTTTATGTTAAATATCGTGACTTTATCGCAATTCCTAACTTATGGATTTGTAGTCTCAGTCTTAGTTGACGGATTTGTTACTTTGCTTTAATACCATTCCTATATTGTCATTGTCGATTACTGTGTATCTGTTTGACTTTACAGCATTTACACTAATTTCCCGTATCTTGGCATATTCGATGTACTTCAGTATGAAATGCACCTTAAGTGTTGTGCTGGAAAGCCATGATGCAAGCATCTGCTGTTACATGTAGCATGTATTTCAGCCAATGAAATACTATAAATGCATTAATTATTCACTTGGTATTTATTTCGCTATTTTCGCTGATAAGTAAAATCCCCTAAATTAAATCTATGTGAACATGTGAAATAACAATAAAACTCATTGTTTCCTTGACAAATTCATGAAAATTAAAAAAACACAGTGAATATGCTCAAAATTTCAAAACAGTGAAATTAAATGTCAGTGAAAATAAATGGTTTTACAGTATGGCATAAAATATGAGTTTTTGTTTTTGTTTTTATTTGATGTTCATGTCTTCACTGTTGCTTCTTTCCCATGATGCAACCCATGAAACATTCAAAAATCACACAACCACATGTTCAAGTCCTCATAAGGGATCGATCATTTGAAATCGAACAGTGGCTGGACGATTTGTTTGAAAATTAAAAAATTACAAGCTCGGTAACAAGAGCAAAAAAAAATGCATTCAGGAAGAAAATGTTGGTACATCCAGAAAAATTAAAAAGGTACAGACAAAACACTTTGGGAAAACTAATTAACCCCCCCATCCCATTATTTCAAATGGTTGACTTCTATTTCGATGGTCTAAACACTCATTCTTGTTTTATAATGTCCTTCATCTCTGGAACTCACTACAAAAGGATGCATACTGGTGTAAATTATTATGTCATTCAGATCAGCCAATCTGAACCCTCCATCAATCGTTAATTTACTGAATGCCACTTATAATGTATTAGGAGCTGGTTTCATTTCTTGGGTTTTGTAGACAATTTTATATATATATATACCCAGGTGTATTACAAATGATAGTTGATTGTTATTGTTCCTGTATCCTGTTCCTGTCCCATGAATGTTTATTGTAACATAGTCTTTAAATACATCCAAGTAATTGTTCCTGTACTCAGTACCTGCAGTGGTGTTTTAATTGAGGCAAAGTTTCAGTTAATTCCATGTTTCTGTACTATTTGACAATCATCATCATTTATTTAATCTAATTTTATTTTCCTTATTAAACTATCTGACTCTTTGTTTAGGAGGAATTTATAAACCACTTGTTAGTTCTGAATGTCCTTGATGATGAATTATTGAGTTCATTTCAACCTATTTTTTCCAGGTTTATTCTACTCGTTTGAGTTTATATTATTTCTTGTCGTAATAAAAGGTATTTTTAGTAAGGAGGACATAAATAGCTTCATTTGTCATTTGTATTACTGCATACAAGTTTGAAAAGACTTACAAAATATTACTTCTCAAGATGCATATGTCTTTTTCACCTGAAGCCCTTCAATGATTGTGATGTGTCACCATATGTGGCATGTTTGAATTGGGTCGTGAAATCATCATTGCATATAAAATAAATCTCTGCATGATACTAGATTTGTGCGCATAATATATATTTGGAATTGCTTGCAGTTTAAAAAGCAGCCTATGCACTGTCCTCCACAGATAAAATTACAAGAGAGTGCTAATTTGCATATAATTAGCATATCAATGACAAACATTTCAAAGGAAATTCTAAGCAATTTTATATTTATACTGACCTCAAATACTCTGTGAAAGTACTATATTGATGTTCTTGAATTATTTTCATGGATAAATTAAACCACTTAATGTAAAAATAAATTATTGTCAACTGTTGAGTATCTCGGCTAATTCAGGAATGATTATGGAACTTGTTTTGACACTCCCATGGCATGATCAATGCAGTTCTGGTGTCAATCAATTCATGCATCTAGTCATTGTTTTTGTTTGTTTATTCAGCTAGTTTTTTCCCCCCAGACGTCCAATTCAATGTCCTAGTTGTCATCTATGCCACTATCTGTATGAGAGGGGCACAAATAAATTTCAGTGGGGTGCTGCGCCCCTCTTAAACCCCTTGTGAAAAACACTGCTATGCTAGAAAGGCCTTGTGAGACCATTATGTTCTGTGTTCTGTGCTCTTTGTAACATCATTATACATATAGCATTATGTAAAAAGCTTTGTCATTACTCATTCCAAAGTGTACCAGCACTCGTTTGAACATTTAATAAATGTTATTGACTGCCCATTCTAACTTTTTCCTCTTTCATATGTTGGACTCATAAGCACTATAGCATGGCAGCAACGTTTTTCATTTCCATTTCTGACCAGAATCTCTCATTAAATTATTACTACAAGCAAGAAAAACAGGCATAATAATGTTATCATTGGAATATCAACCTGTACATGTCAGTCGAGATTGTCATAGTGCCTTCATGCATGTTTTGTAATGTTCTTGTCATGACCATTTATTACAATTAACAGTATGCAATGTACTAATATTTTTTCTGATTGATTATGATGATAGGCAACATAGAATGAGTACAACATGTGTACTATATGCTGCACTACATGTTTAAATAATTATATGTATTTATGTTATGATTGTAGCTACAGTTGTAATAAGCATCGAATGAGTTTATAAGTTGGCAATTACAAGACCCCTTTGTGTAAAGTGTGACATTACAAGATTCCTTTGTGCAAAGTGTGCCA